CGGCTGACTTGATGTTGCACCTGGTTGGAGTGTCACTACTGGCGGCCATGGCTGTGATGTTTCAATGGCCCTCTCTGGCCGAGCAGCTTGTGATAGATTCGGTTGAGAAGCCGATTCCTGATTGTTGGAGCTGCTAGCTTGAGTCGGCTTGTTCAAAATAAAGGCTGAGAGTTGGGACATATTTTCATGCAAGTCGTTGTAGCGTGCTCCCATCCTTCCCATTGCATCAACCAAGGAGCTAACCTGTGCTTGAAGTACAGCTAACTCATCAGTAGGACCTGCTGCAGAGTTCTCAGCCTGTACTGGCTGATCGCCTTCCTCCAAATCTTCATCAGTAGCCACGGCCTTAGAATTTTTTGTGAGCCGCGGCATATTTGCCTCTTTTATAACACTCTAGTAGTGGTCCCACCGGGTGTGCCAAAACGTGTTCGCGCGGTTTTTGTTCCCCACGCCGGTCGATGGACTCTTCGCGGGCGTGCCAGAGTATTTGTTCAAAATACCCAAAATATGTAATTGAACACCAGCCTATCCCTTTTTTCGATGGCTGACTCTCAAGCGATTGTGTGGGAGAGAGACTAGTAAGAACTCCCAGCAAGGTTCTTTTATGCCTTGTTTGTAGCAAGGACTTTTTAGAGTGTCTAAAGAAATGCAACGGCTGATGAATGTTTGAATGGATGGAATGGCCGAGTGAAGACAGGCGGCAAGAACTTAATCGATTGCCGACCGAACGTGATAGCGAGAACTTAATCAATCGCTATCAGCCAAACACAATGGCAAGAATTTAATCGATCACCACCAGCCAAACACAATGGCAAGAATTTAATCAATCGCCACTGAAACGTGATAGCAAGAATTTAATCAATTGCCATCAGCCAAGTAATGACAAGAATTTAATCAATTGTCACTACGATTCAATGGCAAGAATTTAATCAATTGCCATTGAATTGAAAGCCTAACTAAAATTGCGTAATTAAAATTGGCATAATTGAAATTGAAAGAAAGTAAATGGCTGAATCGAAATAGTTGACGAGGATCTAATCAATTGTCATTAAATTGAAATAAAGAAATTGATAGGAAAATGACGTAGAGTCAATTGAAAACATTTTTAGTTGAAATGCATGTTTTGTGGTGGTGCTGGACGAATTGGAAATGGAATACAATACTTCTATTTATAGAAGTTCTATCTCAACTTATTTTCCTAATTAATTGCTAGAAAATCTCTTTGCTCCTTGATTTTCTTCACTTTATTACTCAAACTAAACCACGTTCCAGTAGTCTTTTGCGTCTCTTCTCTTCTTGCTTCAATAGGAAAGTCCTTGCTGAAATCTCTCCTTGATCCAGTCAAATGCAAGTTGTCGAGAAATATACTGAAAAGTTGCTGGAAAGTTGCTAACTTTTAGCAACTCCTTTCCTTAAGTTAGGCTGAAAACTTCCCTTAAATGGCTAGAAGACCATTTATAACTTTTGCCCAAATTATCCCTCATGTGACGGCCTCTCCTTTGAATTCCTTATTCCTTTGCAACGAAATTCTTATTTCATAGGAATCTCATTCCAACTAAATCTCTTCTATCCAAACTGAAATAATATATTTGAATTAACTCAAATATTAATTACCAAATTTCAGCAACAACCTTATTGGATAAAGTGGCTAAATTCCTAGATTCTCCTCTTGTTTCTCAATTGGCCGACTTTTCTTGAAACCATACTAAACAAGTGTCGGCCCATCGCTGGTCCATGTCACCACTGAGGTGGCTACCAAGTTTTGGTGCCAACAGTCCCACTAGGGATTTTTTTTTTTTGCACTTCAACGATTTTCTTTATGTTATTTTTAGTCCATACTTTTGTTTGCTAGTTTATTATTTGTCGACAAAAGTGACAAAACAAGAGCTCGTGGGTTGGAAAAATAATTAGAAATTAGCAAAAATAATGTCAAAACAGTTTATCTTAAGGGTGGGATTTGGACTAGCGAAGGGTTAGCCCACGCCTAACCCAAGGTTCTAATACTTTAATTTGCGTCAAACTCAAGTCCCGAGAAACCTATGGCATATTTGTATTGAATTTTTCAGGTTATACATTTCAAATAAAATAAAACCACTCATATCATATGTCAAAAAAATTGTAACAAACTATGCTGATGTTCAAATACTATTCCTATGGTATATAATGTGTGCAAATATTGTCACATAAGTAAAGTGGGAAAGGTGAAAGACTAAAATGTCCTCCACAATTCTCATTTAAAAAAAAAAAAAAAAAAGGCTTAGAAGTTGAAATTACTTAAGAGGACATATTTGAACATCGGGACTCTTTTATACACCATTTTCAAACGACATGGGTTTTTTGCAGTTCACCACCTTCTAGAACCAAAGCCCATAAACTCTCTCTCTCTGTCTCATCCAAACATCCACAAACACTCCATCTTTCGTCCAAACATCATGAGGTTATTCTTATAATCATGGAATGAGCCAATGACGGCTCAAGGGGCACGTGCCCCTCTGCCTGGCTCCGCCCTCTATAATATTTGTAGTAATTTTTTTTTTTATGTTTTTGTTATATGTATGAAAAAAGTTATTCAGTGCCCCCCTAAATTTTGTAGTTTATAAAATTATTTCTTTATTTTTCTCTTTTACTCTTCAAATTTACTTAAAAGAAAAAGCTAAATTTTCTTCCTCAATTGAAACTTTAACTTTTTTATTATATTGTAATTTATAAATCCCATTTTGCCAAATAATTTAAATGGTCCTCCAAAACCGATTTAACCTGCCCCACGAGGCAAATTGCCATCCCTACTAATGGGATTACAAATTCTATTAAAAAATGAAGAGGAACCATTTACTTGATAATGCCAATTTGATTACAAATTTTATCAATGGTATCACCCTACGAAATATAAATTATAGAGAAAAAATACATTTAAAAAAAAATATAAACTACACTATAATAGATCGAAGATTATAAATTATAGAGAGAAAAAAATATTTTTTAAAAATATAAACGACAGTAAAATAGATCGGAGGGGTGAGTTTGGATTGATTTGAAGAGAAATACAGGGAGAGGGGAAGAAGAAATATATCTGGTAGATGATCCGAAGACTTCCGCCGACAGTGATGGCCATGTGGTAGAGAGTTTTAATGCTATCAAACGGTGTTGATGACAATGCTAATTGTTATATGAACGATATTATTTTTAAATATTTTGTTATTTTTTATTATTCTGATTGAATAAATTAAAACTTGTTATTACGAATTCAACTTAGAATAACTTAGAGGATCATAGTCCAAAACTTTTGTATGTTGTTTTGGAACAAAGTAATTTGGTTTGATTAGTTTTGGTCTACCTAGTACTTTTGTCATTATGGAATGTTTGTAATTTTGAACTTTTATAAAAAATTTTAATAGTTATATAATTGTATTAGAGGAAAAAAAAAATAATAATAAATAGAGAAAATTTGGGAATAAATGAGGTGGGGCGGGTGCCCCCGGGAAAAAAAAAAAAAGTTGAATAGGGGGATGGAGTTGGAAGGTACCATATTTAGTTAGTTTTGGATGGAGACTTTTAACCGGGACAGGGAGGGTACACCCGCCCATGACAGCCCATTGTTATCCCCAATCATCAACAATAACAAGAGTTGAAATTGTTGTGAGGGCGGAAGGGCAAATTGCAAAAATTAAACACAACACTACAAAAGAAGAGGGTAAAGATGAATACGGACAGTGAAGAGGAAGAAACTCAAAGAGATCAAGATTCAACGACAAGAACACCGGCCATAGAGTATATTGTGCATATATATATATATATATATATAATATGTGTGATTAATTATAAAATTCTATACAATAATATATATCTACTTTGTTTATAATTTGTTGTTGGCATGAATATCTTCTACTGATTAGTTGATGATTAAGCTGATAAGAGTACTTACCTTTGTTTTCTTTTATTTTTATTTTTCAGTGTGCAAGTCTATCAAGTGAGATTTGTAAAATAGCTTGTCGAAAATAAAATAAGTTTAAAATAGCTTGTCAAAAATTGTTGAATAGGTTATTTTTGTTTTATTTTAATATATTTTTTCTTCGTAAATATTTTAGGACAATCAAACACGAAAAAACACAAAAAATATTTTTTTAAGCTCAAACAAGAAGAGAAATCCATTAAATGCAAGGGGTTACAACAATTCTAGTAGGATAAATGTGACGCGTACACTAATTAATTCTTTGAAACAATGAGTTTTATTGACGCAGGAAATCAATTCTGTTGGTGCGTGGCTAATTTACTTCGAACTACATTGATATTTCATCGAGTCTTCTACTTTGATCCAACACCAGAAATTGAAACCTTTCACGAAGCAATTGAAAGGCTACCTGCAGTCATCTACATACCTGAAACAACAACACAAACTCAACAAAATTCAACACATTATAAATAATCCCTACACACACACAAACCTCATTGTGTGGGTGTGTGTGCATAATAATTATTTTCATTAAAATTGATATTGAGACACCAACCGACTACCACTTGATCTCTACTCGTGCATTTTGTAATATCATTCACAAACTTTATGGGCGTGCTTAATTTATAATTCTGATAACAGTTTTCTATTTTTTAAAAATTGTACAAAAAAAACTCGATTCAATTTTCTGAAAACTCAGTTAAAAAAATATTTGTATTTTCAGAGAACTGCCTTTTATAGTTCTCAAAACAATATTTTGTTCTTTGAATTCTTGAAAACTGTTTTTAGAACTACAAACTAAGCGAGCCTTATTTTTCTTATGAGACCCATAAATAAATAAATAAATAAATAAATATATATATATATATATATATATATATATATATATATATTTATATTTATATATATCTTGGACGTCCTATCACACCATACAGATTTTGTGCATTAAATAATATTTTGAATTGTTTCAAGTTTCATTTGATTTCATATCCACAAAATAACTGGTCAATGTTACCATTTAAAATTTAAGTGCATGTATTATGAAAATACCTTAGCAATTGGTAGGAGGGGTGAGGTTGCACTTGGCAGGGAGTGCCATGGCAAGATCAGGATCAATCCCAAGAGAAGGCAAAATGAACGAGTTCCTATAAGAACACAAACATGTCAAGTCAGCCCCTGAAAGAGCTTGGCAACACTCCGGTGTAGGCGTGACCGGGTTCGGTGCAGTCACTGCGGGCTTGCATGCCATTAGACCATCCTCATTTATGTTACACAACTCCAATGCTTTAGACCCTTCCAATAGTACCATAACCAAAACCACCACCACCATCATCTTCCTTCCCATCTCCATTTTACCTATGATTTAGAAATTATTTGTCACTTCACACTATATATCACATGGTTGTGGAATATATAATTGGTTCTTATATATAGGGTACCAAGGGCTTTTTTAGGAACCAAAAGTTGTGAGCCCGTGAATAGGAATTGGCATGACCCGAGCTGTCACGGGAGTTATTGGCCACATAAAACGTATGTGATATTAGTCATTTACTTTCATTTATTTTGTTCTACTTTATAACTTTTACATACATATATATGTGTGGAGGGTTTTGATTGTCGTTTTTTTATCTTGAAACTTGGAAACGCTTTTGTATTAGTTGTAGGTTTGTAACTTGTAACTGTGTGTGTGAGAGAGAGAGAGAGAGAGAGAGAGTAGGGATGGCTACGGGCGGTTTCGGGTGTCAGAGAAGTTTTTAAAGCTTTATTTCCGTTACATGATTTAATGGATCTTTAAGGCTCATCAGTTTTGATGTTTAATTTGCAAGATTTATTGTGTTTTATAATTCATATATTTATTTTCTCGCGGGCTTTAGTCTTTAATGAGAATATAACTGTTTGATTCCTTACTCTATAAGAATAGTGATAGAGTAACCAAAGACTAATTCCCGAATTAGCACCAAAACCTGACCTGTCTTTGCCACGTCATATATTCTTACTTTCTTTTCTCACTCTAATTGTGACTTGTCTTTCTTTAGATTTTATACTTGCCCTTTTTCCAAACTCTTAAAGTTTTTCTCTCTTCTCAAATTCCCTGTCCTTAATCTTCCCTTCCATAGAGGCCACCGTTTTCGTTCAAAAGTTTGTCATCTACTTATTCTTTTTTTATTGTCTTATTTCTTATAAAGTTAACAAGTCACCAATCACCTAGACCCATTGTAATAAAGTTTAGAGATTAGGGTTAATGTAAGAAAGGGAGATACAAGAGAACGCCCTGGTAAAGTCATGGAGACAAATTTGAAGGTTTTTAGGGGCGGATGTGAGATGAAAAACAAAGGAATGGTGGGGAAAACAAATACATGGAGATGAAATAGAAAGTCAAACTCAAATCTTAAAGAGAGAAGGCGAAGAGAATTTGAGAGAGAGATCGGGAAATTTTTAGGCAGAAAAAAATTTAAAAGAATTTCAGAGAAGAGAATTCAGACACAAATGTAGAGAGAAACTGAATAAAATTTGGATGAGAGACACATGCATACATTTTGAGAGAGAGAGAGTGTGTGTGTGTTAAAATAAAATTTAGGGTAAAGTACTGCCACACTCCCTAAGGTTTAGTAAAAGGACACTCTTACTTGTTTTTTTAGACAAAGACATCCGAAGATTCAAAAATAGACAAAGATACCTCTTTAAATGAGAAATTGACCAAATTACCCTTTGACCATTTATGAGACTTTTTTAACTTTACATTTTAATAAATTGGACCAATCTACCCTCATGAACAATTTATGCATAAGTTTTTTTTAAAAAAAAAAAAAAAAAAAAAAAAAAAAAAAACTTTATATTATTCACTTTTTTTTTCTGTTATTTACTTTATAAATGTCAACTTCTTAAAATATAGGCGTCTAAAATGATTTTTTTATCCAATACATATATTTCAGATAAATTATATTTTCTTATTACTTCTTTTCTTTTTCTTTTTTATTTTTAAATTAAGATGCTTAATTCTTTCATCTAAAAAAATTAAACCAATCTATTTTCCTTAACCACCTTTTTTTTTTAAATAAGTACTTCTAGCTCCTTTTTCTTGACTGTCTCCATGTAGAGGAGTAAAGTTGTCAACAAAATTTAAGAGGAAATCAATAATTTCTTCAAAACCTCAAAGAAATCAACAATCTGAGACATTTCAAGTGTAACTCTTTCCTAAGTTACCTAATGCATAAGATTGTGTATGTGAGTAGGGATTAGTTTCAGCTCAATAAAAAAATGGAGTCAACCTTCTGTAATAGATAAATAAATCAACAGTTTCTGGCAATTGTCTGGGCGTTTATGTTATGTGTGTGTATGTGTTTTCCTCTTTCATTTTCCTTTCACCTGCTGGATTTGAGGCACGTCATCCTATTTATATTGGCGTACTTATTTATTTTAAAAAAATGTGGTTAAGGAAAAGAGATTGGTTTAATTTTTTTCCATGAAAGAATTAGGCATCTTAATTAAAAATAAAAAAGAAAAAGAAAAGAAGTAATAACAAAATATAATTTATTTGAAATATATGTATTGGATCAAAAAATCATTTCAGACGACTACATTTTTAAGAAGTTAGGACATTTATAAAGTAAATAACAGAAAAAAAAGTGAATAATATAATTTTTTTTTTTTTTTGTTTTTTAAACTTATGCATAAATTGTTTATGATGGTAGATTGGTCTAATTTATTAAATTGTAAAGTTAAAAAAGTCTCCTAAACGGTCAAATGGTGATTTGGTCAATTTCTCGTGTAAAGGGGTGTCTTTATCCGTTTTTGAACCTTCAAATGGTATATTTGTCCAAAAAATAGGTAAGTTTTCTTTGAGTGTCATTTTGCCAAACTTCAAGGAGTGTGGCTGTACTTTACCCTAGAATTTAAGAGGTAATTTCATATTCAAATCTTTAAGAGAAGAAATGATGAGGATTTGAGAGAGGTATATATGGCTAAATTTTGGAAGAGAAAAAGTGAAGAAAATTTCTGAGTAATCGTAATCTGGTAGACAAAGAATGTAATAGGTATGAAACGAAGATAAGACTGAACATTGAGAATAGATTTGTCTTTATGTTTACTGGCCAATCTATTTTTTGAAAAGTGGGTTGCGTAAATGACCTGCCCAAGATAGGTCATTGTTCGGTGCTTCTTCGGTCTAAATGACCATTTGTCTGTATGTGATCGTGATAGATGTGAATATACTATGTAGAAATTAATAGATGGAACCATTATATGTTTTTTTTGAGTAACCTTATCAATTCATCACTCTAAGTCAGTTAACACTGTTTTATATTAGGTAATCTTCCTTTTTTTCTTTTTCTTTTTGTAAAAAAATAAAAATAAAATAAAATCTGAGTTCTTATTTTTCATCAATAAATGCCTTATAAATCGCATGCTTCAATACGCGATTTAAATTCTTTATAAGCCCTTTATATACGTTTTACTCTAAAAATAATGCACACAGATTCTCTTATCGATCAAATATTTTGTGTAAAGGGAGGAAAACAGAGATCAACTAATGAAAGAAAGTGATAGTAACCTATCGATACTTTCTTAGGAATATGGATTAGAAGAAGAAGCTAAATGTGGTTCATTCAGGACTAAGACAAGCATCCTTGGCGCTAGATAATTGTAAGTTTTTGCTGGAATGTTGAAACTTCTAAGGTTGATCATCATCAGGGATGGTAATTTTACCTTGCGGGGCGGGTTAAACCAGTTTTGAAGGACCGTTTAAATTATTTGAAAGGAAATAAAATTTAGTAGTAATAATCTACGCGGGTTCAGTGTGGGATTGGGCAGGGGAGGTCAACCATCCCACCACGCCCGTTTAGGTGTGTAAATTATCTTGTTTGCATTAGCATATATAATTAACGTTAAAACTTTTGTATTTTGATTTTTCAGTAGTAAATTTTTTTATTTATTTATTTTTTTTTCGGTAAGTAAGTGAATATTATAAAAGGTGAAAAAAGCTTTTACAAAATACAAGGGCGTACCAGGAGAGCAAAAGGAAAACAGAAAGAGGGCTTACAAGAAATGAAAAAATGAACAGAAACATTAGCCCAAAACAAGGAATCAGTTGCTGAGGCCCAAATCAAAAGACTGCCCAGAAGGCGAGGGAACTAACCCTTTTTTTTTTTTTCCCTAGCAAAACAAAACATCATTACATTACATAACAAAAGAACATAAGTCATCCTTGGCAAACGCAAGGATATGAACCAGACAACAAGCAACAAACATAGCAGAGTAGAAAGCAGATCTTGACAGTAGCTCAGAATACCTCCTCGCCTCCTCGAACACCCAATAGTTCCCTTAAATCCACACCTGCTTGACGGGGGGAGAGTTTTGTGGATATTCGAACTGCCGTAGACTTTGCAAATAAGTGTCTGCATGGGCTTGGATACTGTGGGCCTTGCAGACTACAGCCCAGAAACCAATGGGCCTGCTATTTGGTTAACCCAACAACAAATAAAGGAAACTTGGCATTTGTGGTTTCAGTCAACAAGATTGGGCTTAAATAACTCAGGTCCAACTGGGCAGTGAAACAATAAAGCCCATAAGAGGAGTAGGTGTTATATAAATGGGAAAATTACATATAAATGGAGTCAAAGTTTCATATTTACTTGGAGGCTGAGTCAAAATTCCATATTTCTCTAAAATGGATTGCTGAGGTGGCACATGGTTTTTTACTATTTAGAAATTGTGGTGCCTAAAATACCCTTCCGCGAAGGTATTACTTTTTCTTCGAAGGTATTACTTTTTTGAACTAAAGGTACTACTTTTTGACGTCCAGGTACCATGTTTTTTAAACACCCGCAAAGGTACTACTTTTTCTCCGAAGGTACTACTTTTTTAAACTGAAGGTACTACTTTTTTATTAGGGAAGGGCATTTTAGGCACCACAATTTTTTAAACAGTAAAAAATCATGTGCCACCTCAGCAATCCATTTTAGAGAAATATGGAACTTTGACTCAGTCTCTAAGTAAATATGGAACTTTGACTCCATTTATATGTAATTTTCCCTTAAAAAGCAGAATCCAAACCTGGGGACTCCCAATGATAAACGTCGTCCTTCTCGTGGCTCCAGAGAGTTCTACCAACAACCATAACTTGGTTACCTCAGTACGCCAAGAAAATAACAACAGCATGCTGTCACATGAAAGGACCGGCACATGACATGGAAACTGCTCCACGCAACCTCTTTGACTGGTATGATGATGATCGGAAGACATCGGCCATAGAGAAATTGTATAATCCGACGAAGAGAACAAAGTGGAAGCACCAACATCCGCATAGAGCCATTGTTTGACCAAGCAAAGCTTCGCGAGAGCCCCATCGCTATT